GTTAACTCATTTTGTTTTATCCATCGGCTAAGACAAAATGTCCTTCCTTCCTTCCTTCCTTCCTTCCTTCCTTCCTTCCTTCCTTCCTTCCTTCCCTCCCTCCCTTCTTCCCTCCCTCCTTCCCTCCCTCCCTCCCTCCCTCCCTCTTTCTTCATAATATTTTGATTTAGTTAATAAACTTTAGTTAAACAAACCATAGCAGTGCAATATGAAAATCCAGTCTTTATCTGTATCCAGTTAGAGCCAGATCTCACTTGACTCATTGTTTACACTGAGGATGATTTGTTGAAAACAAATCACCGTTGTTATTGACAGAGCTTCTTTTGCAGTTGTTGAATGCCTCTGTTCAGACAACAAGTCAAGTTGTCCCCTGTTTGTTTTATTTTTCAGATATAAATGTGCCATCAAGTATGAAGGAAGGAAACCCCTCCCCACCACACAATTCTTTGGCTTTAAATTGCAAATGAGATTTTTAAGTGGTTCCTGACAACACACACATAGACATACATGCCTTTCATGCCTTCTAAAAATAATGTCAGATTTAGCTCTAACAACAGCCACAGTGTTTTCAACACCTGCTGAAGCTGCTATTCTTTGAAGATGTGAAACAGTGCTGAACCTTTAAGACAGCAGTCTTCAACCTTGGCAACTTTAAGACTTGTGGACTTCAACACCCAGAAGTCCGCAAGTCTTAAAGTTGCCAAGGTTGAAGACCTCTGCTTTAAGAAGTCACTTTCTGAAGCAAAAAATTGGGGGTTAGGAAGGGGGAAGAGACATGTACTATAATTAAAAACACTAGCAATGAAAATAAACATTGTTAACCAAAAACAAAATGGCAAAAAAATCTGGTGAAATGGGTTCCACCACAAATGTGCGCACAACAAAAGCGCGCCTGACTAAACCGCGGTGTCTAAAGCGTGGTGACAAAACCGCGTGACGAATGAGCGACTAATTAGCCCTAAAGCGNGAGGAGGAGGAGGAGGAGGAAAGGCTTATGCATGCTCACCACCTTAAGTTACTTACAAAGTAATAAAAATCTAATCAAGCAATCCTTTTAAAAAGAGAAATACGTTGACAGATTAAACATCCACAGGCAGTGATCCAGCCATGACTAATGAGTAGAGATCCCCACCTGCAGATCACTAGCGACCTGTCCAACTGAGAAAACAAAGTTCAAAATAGTGCAGATTTAGTTTAGTTGGGCTAATTACAAGCCAAGACAACTGTGTCTGCCATAGGAGCTATGAAACAGAGCTGCCTTTGTTGAGGCATTGTTACCACAGGTGCCTGAGGATAATCAGCTTGAAAGTCCCAATACTGAATATGCCATTGCCTATTCACGAAGACTGCTGAAAGGACACTGATGATATCCCAGGCAACTTTGAGTGCTCAACACATAATACAGAGAGCACTGATGGTGCAGTGGTTAGAATTCAGTATTCCAGACTAACTCTGCCCACAGCCTGAAATTCGATCCTGATGGTTGGCTCAGCCTTCCATCCTTCTGAGGTTGGTAAAATGAGAACCCAGATTGTTGGGGGCGGAGCAATAGGTTGACTATATGCATTCAGAGCGGGCTATAAAAGCACTATGGAGCAATATAGCAATAAAATATATTGCTAATACAGGACCAAAAAAGATAAGAGGCTAAAACATGAATAGACTAACTTATTCCTACCCATTTGCAGTGCAGTATGTTATGTATAGTTCGTTGTGTGCTAATTTTAGAACAGAAGTCCCATAATATTATTATTCATTATTCTTAGAGCAGATGTTATCATTACTATTAAACTAACATCAACAGAGCAACTACTTGAAATGGTGTGCAAATTTCACTATTAAAAATTACAGGTGCTGTTCAAACAATGTTCTATGTGCACTGCCTGCTAAAACATGCATTTTAAATGTAGCAGGAATTGGTTCTGATTCCTGAATAAATTAAAGATCAAGAGTGTTGGCAATCTGCATTTGATAATTAAGGGTGGTACCTTCTTACTACCATTCTACTAGATCAATTAAACTGGTTACAAGTTAATGCAAGCCTCTAAAAGCCTCTGGGAAGAAAGGGCTAATCATGCTTTAAGAAAGAGACAGTGTTGAAATAATAAAAGAATCAGATCGTCTTGTGATTAGTATAGAACAGAGTAGATGCCAGCCACAAACCAAACTTTGAATGCCAAGAAGTTATTAGAATTCTAATAATTTCCATATCTCTTTCGAGTGTTCGGAACATTATGTACTCATTTTCTCAATAGTCCTTATGACGACAGTATAAAATGACTAGGTACTGTAATCCCTGCTTTCCCTTAAAATAAATGCAAATTGAGTTCTATACCATACATATAAACATGCACATATCTTGTCCCAAAGATGCTTTTTCAAGAGGCAACTGGACTTTTTTTTTCTTTGAAGACATTTCGCTTCTCAGATAACAGAGTTGGAAGGGACCTTATAGGTCATCTAGTCCAACCCCTCACTCAAGCAGGAGACCCTACACCATTTCTGACAAATGGCAGTCCAATCTCTGACTGAAAAAGCTTCTTCCCCACCATCCAGTCAGAGCTGAAGTAACTTCTTGGAGAGAAGCGAAATGTCTTCAAAGAAAAACAAAAAAGTCTAGTTGCCTCTTGAAAATGCAACTTTGGGACAACTATGACCTGGATGACTGAGAATCTCCATAGACATACACATATCTTGTCTCTTTGTAGAAACAATCTTGGCTTCTCTGTAACCAATTGAAACTATGAGTAAGTCTGTCCATATATTGTGAAATTAATTAACTGTGAGCATCCTAGACCAAGCCAAGTCCAAAAATACTAGAGAATTCCTGGAAGCCTGACACTCAAAAAATTGGCAATCAACAGGCATGCAGAGATAAACAACATCTACATACCATTCAAACGAGATAATCAACAAGTCAAAAAGGAAACGAAAAGGCCCAAACATCTCCTCACCAGCAATCAACAACCAGATGAGCAAAGATTAACACCAAGATTAACACTAGACCAACAAACAAGAAGCAAACAAAACCCTAATCTGACAAAGAAGCTAACTGTTAACAACAGCCCAATCAAGGAACCACCAAGACCTCTTCCACCAACACTGACCAAACAAGCCACTATATAAAATGACAATAAACCCCACTCCCTACTAGCACTGATGATATTACCTAGTTTGGAAATGAAACATCAGTAAACAACTAAACAACCAGAGTGCCAAGGACTCCACAGTTCAATCCTGAGATACAAATATTCTCTTTTATCAGTACTATTGATTTAATCAGCAATGAAGCCAATTGAAGATCTCACTGGTCTTCCGAGACCCCCAGGCCTGATTACAAAGCAAGGTCTTGAAGAATTTCCAAAAAATAAGGAAGAATGGAGCTAATCTCATTTGGTCCCTCAAAAAAACCCAGCTTTAAAGGTTGAAACCAGCCCTTGAATTGAACCCTGAAGCAAACTAGCAACCAATGCAGCTCATGGAGGTGTAATGAATGTTGTTCTAGTCACTGAAAAAGTGACACGATCATTTTTCACGCAACCATTGCAGCACCTTCACGATCATGTGATTTATACGAAGATGTTTGACAACAGGTTCAAACATTGTGACAGTTGCAGTATCCCGGGATCATGTGATCCCCTTTTGCAACCTTAGGACAAGCAAAGTCAATAGGAAAGCCAGATTCACTTAACAATCATTATACTAATTTAATAACTGCAGTGATTCACTTAACAAATCTGTCAAAAAAGATGGTAAAAATGGGGCAAAACTCAACTTAGCACATTTCTCCCTTAGCAGTAGAAATGTTGGGCTCCACTGTGGTCGTAAGTCGAGGACTACCCATATATCGACCTGTGCAAATCAACAAATTGGAAAATCTCACGTAGTAACTTCGCATACTTCCTAATAAAGCCTATACCTTTTAATCCTATTCGTTTCAAGGCGTATAAAATTGAAAGGCCGGGACTTCTGTCTTGGCTTTCTAAGCCAGCGGCGAGAGCAGAATGAAAAATGTAAACACCAAAACTTATTTTGCGCCTGCGGGGAAGTTCCCTGCGATGGTCCGACTACTCCTGCCGGGTTCTCGCCCAGCCAACTGGCACGTGGCTCCGCAGATAGTTGGGCTAGGCGAGCCCCCGAGACGAGCCGTCCAATGAGGAGACCGGGATGGAACCAAGCCTTCGACGGGGCGGGCCCCCGGTTTTGGAGGACACCTACCTTCGCATCATGTGAGCAGAGAGCGAGAGCGCCAGGAGGAGGAGAGGGGAAAAGCCTGAGCGTCGTGGCGGTCGGCCAGGGTAAGGGTTAAACCAGCGGGGGATCCTGGCGTGGAGGCGCGCGAGCTGGCCACGAGAGAGAGAAGGGAAGGGGGACGGGGCCGCGGATTGCGGGGAGTGTCGGCGTTTTCCACCGAGAAGGTTGCAGCGCGTTATTGCTGTAAAAGGGCCACTTGAGCAGTTAGTGAATTGGGGAAGGCGCGCTAGGAATACACTAACAAGCCGCGCGTAAACTAACCTTTTCCAAGAAAAGAGTTTTGCTGTTTCTCTGCCCCGAGCTAGCTGGGTTGGAGACGGATTCGACCAGCAAGAGCCGATATTTTTATTTGGCTTTCCGCGGAAGCAAAAGCTCCTTGAAAAGCGGATCTGCCCGATCTGCTGTGTTTATTTACACACACACAAACACACTCACTCACTCATTCACGCCCCTCGTTATATTGGAAACTGCGTGAGAAATAAATCATGTGGGTTGTTTACTGCCAATGGCATGCAAGGTTCCCGATCGCTTCTAGTGGAAAAATCTGGGGCTTCTTGCCGCCAAAGGACGGGTAGGTTTTCCCCCCACACCCCCGGTGTGACCGTCTGACTTAAAGCCTTAATTCAGAAACGCGACCGATTCCTATCCCGCTGACAAACGTAATGGAGCTTCAGGAATCCGGCTAAGCAGGCTAAACTTCCAGAGTGGGGTTGTTTTTTTTTTGTTTTTTTTTTTGGCAAGGCGCGTGAAGCAGCAACGCGCCCTCTGTGAACGCGAGTAACCCGAGCCGGCTGGCCATCGGGGAAGTCGATCTGGTCCCGGCCTATCGGAAACGCGGAGCTCTGTTGATTGATGGGTAAGAACCTGCCCCGTGGCTTCGCCTTGCAGGGAGGAGCTCCTTGCTCCTTCGGCTCCAGCCCGAGGGGGAAGCGACGCTGTGGGTGTGTATGTGGCGAGTGGAACCCGAGAGGGGAGCCGAGGAGCGGGCGAGCTTTGTCCTGTCTCTTCCTCCGGCGGACGCCTCGTTCCTTTCCATCGGAGCCGCTCCGCGCCCGGTTCCGAACACGCAAGGAGCGTGCGGGTTGTGCGAGGCTCGGGATTCCTTTCCTGTGTAGCTTCTCAAGCTCTTGACAGCTGGAAGTAACTCAGAACTCTGTTCCAGTTTTGCCTGTGCCCGTAATGGCTGCTTGGGAAATACCCTCTTTCTCAAAAAGTTCTTCCCACATCTTCTTTAGAACTCTCCAGCGCGGTGCCCTTTCGCTTGTTTGCTCTCCCCCTTTAAGTAGTCTCCCCTCTTGTAAATCTCCCACCCCCGTTTCGTCACTGGCTGTGTCAGCTCCTTTTGTAACAGAAAGCACCAATCTTGATCTGGCTAGGAGTGATCCTCAAATATCCTTTTGACAGCTCCCCACCCATTTAAAAATTAATGCACCAACGCTGTAACTTCAGAGCTGAAGGAGCTTCTTGGATGAGAAGGGAAAGGTCTTCAAAGAAAAATCAGAAAGTTCTGTCGGCTCTTGACAAAGCACCTTTGGGACTGCAACTCAGTTGTAATTGATCCTACTGGCTCACTCTTCAAGTATTCTCTTTCACATCAAGCTAGGTTCCGCATAACCTTAGACTGTCTACTTTGACCTCACCCCATTCCTAAGAGGTCTGTAAGGGGGCGTGCATAAGCGCACCAACATGCCTACCATCCCTGTTCTACTGTCCCCATTTATTCATATCCATTTCCTGTGTTCATGTCAATGTTTATACTTATGCCTGTTATCTGGTACATGTTTGACAAACAAACTAACTAAATAAACAAACAAACAAATAAATATAAATAATAATAAAATAAAAGGTTCCAGTGACAGGTCCCTGCAACAATGCAAAAGTAGATTGAAAATGTTTTCCTCAGAGATGCTTTTTTCCAATTCCTTATAAGATAAAACTACCAACTAGGTACAACTTTTGAGAAGGTCTTCCATCCAAGGAGGTCTGATCATGCTTAATTTGTCAAAATGAAATCAAACCTAGTTGGACCTGCCTCATTAAATCTTTTCACATAATGTTTTTGTCTCTTATTTTATGTGCTATATCTCCAACAATGTTCTCTTCTTTCTGATCGATCTCTGAGATTAATCGAATCTGAATTTGTCTAAATCTACATACAGGTAGTCCTCGACTTACAACCAGTCATTTAATGACTGTTACTAAGTTACGACACTGAAAAAAAATAACATGACTATTTTTCACACTTATAACCGTTACAATATCCCCCATGGTCACATGTTCAAAATTCAGGTGCTTGGCAAGTGGTTCATATTTGTCCCAGGGTCACATTTTCCCCTTTTGCAACCTTTTGACAAGCAAAGTCAACGTAAAAGCCAGATTCACTTAGCAACTGTATTTCTAGTTTTAACCACAGACCCACAGCTGACCTTCGACCATCATCTGACGGCTGTGACCAGGGGGGCATTTGCCCAGGTTCGCCTGGTGCGCCAG